AGGGAGTGTCCTAGGCCTGGGGTGGGTGTGCGGCTCAGAGTCCCAGGCCTGGCCAGTGTAGGTGAGCAGGGCAGTCACTGCCCTGTCAACAAGCAGCACAGACTCGCGCCAGTGGCACCCTAGGGCCCTGGGGAGGGGTGGCAGGCTCTCCATCCTGGCTCATAGGAGCTTTGTTCTAGGAGTGGGATAGGGTGCGGTGGCACAAACCAGATTCTGGCTGTGGGCCGTGAGCCTCCCTGATGACCCTGCAGGTCACCCTGTCCACAGGGGGCCAGGCCCAGCCAGATGCTCACTGCAGGGTCCTCACCCACTGCTGCAGGCCCCAGGGAGGCAGCAGCCCCAGTCCCTCATGGGGCCTCAGAGGCAGGTGCAGGAGAGATCAGGGCCTGGTTGCTGGGAGCTGGTTTGGCCCCATCTTGCTGGGCGGACAGGAACTGCCCCAAGCCTCCGGGGGCAGATGCAGGGTTAGGAGGAGGGCAGGAGCTGGGGGCCCCACCACAGCAGCCCTGCCCCCCAGTGTCCTGCACTAGGTGTGCAGGGCAGCGTGGAGGCCACTGGACAGTCCTCAGGGGCACTGAGGCTGGGTTCTTCAGCAGAAGTCTTAGGGTCCTCCACTACTTGCCCAGGGGCCCCTGGGGCAGCAGCTCCACATAGCTCAGGGCGCTCTGTAGTGACGTCAGGCAGTAGCCCTCCTCTCCAATCAGGTACCTGTGTGGGGGAGCAGCAGGGGCACCCGTCAGCTGGAGAGGATGAGGGTGGCCCCCAGGCTCTGGACAGCAGAGGTTCATGGGGCCACAGGGAGGGCAATGTGGGAAGCTGGACTGGGGAGTCCTTGGGTGACAGAGTGGGGAGGCCCTCCAACAGTGATGGGCCCCCCCAGACAGATGCTGCCAGGGGGACAGACAGCCCCTTGGCCCTGTCTAGGGTCTGCTGGGCCAGGGCCATGGGATGAGCTGGCAGGGAGCACCCTGTGCACAGGGGGGCCTCGGGCTTTCCTGAGGTGTGCCTGCCCCGCCCGGGGGCCCGCGTCGCCTACCCCTCGTGGATGAACTCCTCCAGGGCCGCACACTCCGACACCAGCTGTGGGAGGCCGCTCCTCAGCACCACAAAGGACAAGATGGGCAGCAGGTCATCAGCACCACTGCGGGCAGCAATAGCAGCTGCTGGGCTTGGGCCTCGGCTGGCCTTGGCCTTGACAGCTGCTCTCCCTGTACCCCCACTGGCAGTACAGGGCCACCTGGGAGTGGCAAGGCTGGAGCCCCTGTGCTGTGGCGTGGAGACTGGACCAGTGGCAGCCCCTTCCTGCTTCAGGCTGCACCAACCGCCAAGCCCTGGGAGGACCTGAGTGGGCCGATGGAGGGAGGGCTCCCTGTCCACAGCCCACTCACTCCCCAGGGGAGAGTGGTTACCCCTGTACAGCAGTTCTGGACAGGAGACTGGGGTCACGGGTCCCCATACTCGCTGCAGGGAAGGCCCATGTGTGCTGAGTAGGGGAGAAAATGAGACCCTCGAGACTGGGGCTGGAGCTTGACCCACTTTACCGCAGACCAGGGAGCCCCAAGGCCAGGACTCCCACACACCCAGCCCTGGCAGTATTTTATACAGTGGATGAAGAGGATCCATGGGAGCCAGACCGGCTTGACCAGACCCTGCAAGCTGACCCTGGCGGGGACCATTTGCTCCCTCGTGTTGCACTGACCACATCCCCTGCAGGCTCCTGGATGCGGGCCAGGGCCACAGCCCCGCTGCCTGCAATGGCAGGTGAATCAAGGCTGAGCCCGTCAGCCCAGCTGAGAGTGGGGGAGACTGAGATGGGATCGGGCACCACAAAGCCTCGTGGCTGCAGGACTCAGGTGAGGAAAGCCAGCCTCCACCTGAAGAGCAGGTTTGGGCAGGGCGTCCCTGGCTGGGAGGCCGGGATGGGGACTGGGCCCTTTAACAGGGCTTGGGTGGCTTCAGAGGGGTGCAGCTCCCCTCATGTGACGCACAGCACAAGCGTGAGCACCTGGGAAGAACCCCACAGTTCACCAGATCAGCCAGGAAGCCCCAGAGCCCTGAGCAGCCCTGCAGAGCAGCCCCGCCAGGAGGGGCTGTGCGGTCCTGGCTGCTGCAGCCTTGACCTTACCCGCCAGAGCGCAGGGTCCTCGGTGCAAACTGGCTAGGCTCGCTCTCGGGTACTGAGCCCCATGGGGGCTCATGGAGCAGCAGAGCTGTGGGGGCCCTGGGGGCCAGCAGGACTGCCCCTCCCGGCTGTGCCCACACCACTAGCCCTGGGGGACTCACATGGCGGCAGCGGCTGCAGGCGTGGGCGTGGCCTCGGGCGTGGCCTCCTGGGCGCGGCAGTAGTCTTCTGCACAGACACAGATGGCTCGCAGGGCGCGCACTGTGCACATAAATGGGGCTTCAGGTGTGCCCGCGCAGCTCCTCCTCGGCTCCGGGCCGTGCCTGTCAGTGCTGGGGTGGGGCCTCCCTCCCCACACCTGCCTCCCCACCTCCTCACCGATGCACTCCAGCTTCTTCTGGGGGCAGCTCTCCAAGACCAGCAGACCGAGCTCCTGGGCTGCTGTGCAGTAGGGGTAGGCGGCAGCCCCCTTGGCCTGTGGGTCCCTGGGGAGGAGTTTGGGGGGGACGCCAACGGCTGTTGGGGGTGCATTCCTGTAGAGCTCCATGCTCCTGCTCAGCGCCACCTCGCGGCCACGGTGCACACTCCTGGGGCAGAGAGCCACACTCAGTTGCCCAAGGCTGCCTGGGCAGGGGCGGGGCGTCCTGGGGCTCAGCCCTGGGGAGAGTTGGCATGCATCCTAAGCCAACAGCCCCGCTGTCCCGAGAATGGTGTCAGAGGTTGAGTGATGTGAGGGAGTGACTGGGGTAGGCCCTGGGGGCACAGGCCCTGGGAGACACCAGGTCACGTGGGTGGCTGGCTAGGCTGCAGCCCAGCCCATACCTGTAGAGGGCCAGCAGCAGGGGCCACAGCGGGGAGAAGAAGGGCTCCTCGATGCAGGCCAGGCAGCGGTCCTTGCAGGCTGCTGTGTTCAAGCTTTCGAAGGCCAGAAGGGTCAGTGACAGCAACCTGTCTGCCGGGAGCAGCGCCAGGAGTGTCAGGGGGTCCTGCCTCCGGCTCATGGTGAGGGGCTCGGCCCAGTCCTCCCCCAACTTGTCTTCAAGTCCACCCCCCTCCGGCCCTTCCTGTGTGGCCTGCAGCTGTCCTGCACCTTCTCCCTGGGGGCCAGGACCACCTGCTGACCAGAGGCACTAACAGGCAAGTCTCCTCTCCAAAGAGAAGACTGACATGGACCAGGGCAAACAAGTGAGGATGAGCAGGCCCCACTTCTCCCACCTCCCAGTGAGGACTCAGAGAGCGAGGACTCGCACACAGCCACACCTGCTCTCTGAGGGAGAGCCAAGTGCCTGGCCCTGTGGGGAGGTGGACAGAGGGCTGTGATGGCAGGACCGGCCTGGCTGGCTTGCAGGGCAGGCTCCCTGGCCAGCTGTCGTTGCTGGCCGCCAGGCACCTGCGGGCCTCACCGATGGCGCTGTGTATGTCCTTCACAGTGCTCTGCAGCCGCTCTAGCAGGGGCTCCCTCTTCACCCCTGGGGCTGTGGCTCAGGCTGCCCTGCAGGGCCCCGACTCCACCTCTCAGACGTGGCCAAGAACTGTTCCAGGTCTTCGAAGGAGCTGTCCTTGTCCGGCAGGCGGGTGGAGGTGTCCGGTGAAGGTGAAGGAGGCCCAGCAGGGCTGTCGTCTGCCTCCCTGTCTGGGGGCCCAGGATGGAGCGGGGGTGTGGGAGGAGTGGCAGGGGGGCCGTCTGGCGGCCCTGGGGCTGTGCTGGGCTCTGGAGGGGACAGCATGCAGTACAGGCTCTGTGAAGCCCGGAGCCGCCGGCTCCCAGGAGCCAGCAGCCCGTCGGTGTCTGGGGGTAGGGAGCAGCAGCCTGGGGCGGCCCTGCTCACGACGGGGTACAGCGCGCCGTACACTGCACACTGGAGCCTCTTCAGGAGCTGTGAGATCGGGTGGTCGGGCAGGCTGCAAGGAGGACAGGGGGTGGGGAGGAGGCAGCAGGCACCACGCCCACCCCTGCCCCCTCTCAGCACTGAACATGAGTGCCAGTGGCCTCCCCCGGAGCTGGAGGGGCTGCAGTCCACCCACCGGCCTTTGACCTAGGGGCTGAGAAACCTGGCCTTGGGCCCACGTGTGTGACATGCACCTGTCTACACAGAGGCCACACTCGGAAAGCTTTCTGAGAAGGGACTCGGGCGTCGCTTACTGTAGGTGGGTGCTCAGGTATCGTGTGCCTCATCCCATCGAGGGGATGGGAGGGAGGCAGTGAGAAACAGTTAGGGCAGAGGCAGCTGGGCAAGGGTGGCTGCAGCACTGTCCTCTCTGTGAGAGCCGGGAGCCTCAGAGGCCTGCTGTCCCACCCGGCTGCCCGTCCAGCCTCCTAATGAACTTCCTTCCTAAGCCCTTTCCATGTTACTCGGCAACAGGGTGCGGAGCCCAAGGCTGGCAGACAGGCTCTGTGGGGAAGGGTACCTGAGCAGGTGGGAGACCAGGCTGGTCACCAGTGACAGGTCCCCTGGGCTCCTCTTGAGCTTGGCCCTCCAGTGCTTTGGCCAGTCCTGCAGGACAGGGGGCCTTGAGAAAGCACAGTGGGCCCCACACATGGGACCCTCATCCCCAGCCAAGGCTGCCTGGGTGCCCTCCCTGGGGTGTAGGGAGAACCAAACACCGCAGAGCCACATGGCCCTGCCTGCACCCCCCACCTGCTGGGACCCATCAGACTCACATGGTCTTGCTCGTACTCGAGGATGGCGGCAAAGAGGGCCCGCTGCTCCCGCTCCTCCGGGGTCAGGGCCACCTGACTGCAGAACCTCCTGGGGAGGAAGGGTGAGCTGGCGGGTCCAGGGCTGGGCCCATGTAGGGGAGCCCCTGCCAGTCCTCCCTCAGCTGCCCAGGAGGTGGGCGAGAGGTGCACCTGTTGGCAGCCTCCTGGAGCCGAAGCCGGCGCTCTTCCATCTTCCTCTGGAGCTGGGTGGCAGAGTCAAGGGCTCGTGGTGCCTGACCTGGGTGCTCCGCCTGCCCTTCCCCCATCTACCTGGCACAACCCAGAGCACCTGAGACGTTCCAGGGCTCCAGTGGGCAGGTGAGTTACTGCTGCCCCAGAGGTGCAGTCCAGTGGTGATGAGGGTCGGGAGGTAGGGCACCAACTCTGGGAGGGGCTGTTGCCAGGAAGGCATTGGGAGGACTTGAAGGGTGGGGAGGACACCTGCCGAGGCCAGGAGTGGGACAGCCCCGGCAGGCCTGGGGCTGGGCAGGCAGAAGAATTCTCATCCCCACACCAACTGGCTCCTACTCCCCACCCTGCTCAAAGCCACACTCCTCGGGGACAGCCAGAAGGGTGCCGTCTCCTCCCGGGCCCTGGCGATGACCAGGTTCTCCATCATCTGCCGCTGCAGAGACAGGGTCTGTGGGGTTGCAGGGAATGAGTCCTTCCTCCTCCACCCCTTTCCCAGGCCCTCCCTAGGCCCCGCTCACCAGCGATGTCTTCTGCATAGCCTGGCTGGGGTCCAGACGCGCCATCCGGGCCTCATATGAAGCCTTCAACTTCTGGTTCTGCAGGGAGGCCTCCTCCAGTGGTGTCAGCTCCCTAGAAGTGATGACCAGCTGCCATCCTGGCCCTGGGGGCCTCCCACTCTTCCCCCCAACCCCATTTTGAGGCTGGGAGGTAGGGAGGAAGAGGAGGTGGCGGTGGTGAGGGAGGGGCGGTCGACCCTTCCCGTCTGCCTTGCTGAGATGCAGGCAGATGTACTGCCAGGCTCCACTTGTCCCAAGGAGCTGGGCACCTGGACTGTGCTGAAAATCAGTGGTACACCCGTGGCTATGACCCGAGCTCGCAGGCACCACCACGGCTCAACAGCAAGCTCAGTCTGTGCCTCGCCAGACGAGGAACGGTGTCCGACAGCCTCTTGGCGCCATAGGCAGCCCTGGTGGCACACGTCGCTCTGCTGTGCAGGGTCAGGAGAGCAGGCTGGCAGCTGAAGCTGCCCCTGTGCGGCAGGCCAGGAGGGCGGGCCTTCTGGTTCTACCTGTCTGCCTTCGTTGCTTCTTGCCTATGTCTTCTAGAAAACTGACATCATCAGATACTGTCTCCTCCTCTCTCAAGAATTCCAGAAACACTTAAGTCAGACTCTGACCCGCGTCATTTCTGTCCTGTGATGTCTGGGTATCTTTTCACCTTTTCCCCAGTCACTGACTCTGTCTTCTGCTACTTCTACTCTGCTGTTACACACTCGTCTAGCCATTTTTGTATATATGTGTGGATCTCTAGGGCAGAAAATAATTTGGTTTTTAGAAATTATTTATTTATGGGGCCAATGCTGTGGTGTAGCAGGTAAAGCCACCACCTGCAGTGCCGGCATCCCATATGGGCGCCGGTTTGAGTCTCAGCTGCTCCACTTCTGATCCAGCTCCCTGCTATGGGCTGGGAATGCAGCAGAGGATGGACCAAGCCCTTGGGCTCCTGCACCCATGTGGGAGACCCGGAAGAAACTCCTGGCTCCTGGCTTCAGATCGGCTCAGCTCCAGCTGTTGTGGCCATCTGGGGAGTGAACCAGCGGATGGAAGACCTCTCTCTTCATGTCTCTACCTCTCTCTGTAACTCTTTCAAATAAATAAAATAAATCTTCAAAATTATATTTATTTATTTGAAAGGCAGAGTGAATTATATAGGGAAGTAGAAGGATCTTCCATCCACTGGTTCACTCCCCAAATGGCCACAATGGCTGGGGCTGGTCCAGGCAGATGGAACCCCATCTGGGTCTCCTGTGTGTGGTAAGGGCCCAAGCACTTGGGCCATCTACTGGGACTGCTTGGACTTGAATGGAATGCCATGGGATGCTGGCATTGCAGGCAGTGGCTTAACCCATTATGCTACAATGCTGGCTCCTCATTTAGTTTTTTTCTTTTTTAATAATTTAATTAAATTTCCTGGAAAGGTGTAGAGGCTCTCATCTTTTGGTTCATTCCCCAAATGCCCCAATAGCTGGGGCCTGGGGCAGGTGGAAGCCAGGAGCCTGGAACTCAATCCAGGTCTCCCACGTGGGTGGCAGGGCACAAGTAATTGAGCCGTCACCTGCTGCCTCCCAGGGTGCGCATGATTAACGGGAAGCGCAACAGCCAGGACTCAGACCAGACCCTCCCATGTGGAAGGTGCGCTTCTTAACTGCTACACCAAGTGCCCCAACTGTTTTTAAATGTATTTGCTAGAGAGAGAGACAGATCCCACCCACTGGTTTTCTCCATCCATGCTTGTCAGAGCTGGAGCAGGACCAGAGCCGGAGCCAGAGCTTGGAGCCGGGCACTCAGCAGGTTTCCCCGGCAGGCGGCAGGAGCACCACGGCTCGAGCCACCGCTGCTGCCCCCAGGTTCCACACTAGCCGGAGTCGGAGCCGGAGCCGGAGCCGGAGCCGGGCCGCGCGGGACACGGCGTCAGGTGCTCAGCTGACGCCTGACTCCTGCTAGTTTTCTGAAAATCATTTTAGTATTGGATTTTTTGTTTCCCTTCTACTTGGTCCTTTATTTTCTGGGTCAGGTTTCATAGTTTTGTTTCCCGCAGGTATTTCCCCTGCACGTCTTGTTTCTCTAAAGACAGGCGTGTCTGACTGCTCTCGGGAAGGCGGGGGTCCGCCTCTGCCCTGCGATTCTCGTTCTCTGCTCGGCTGCCTCGGCCTGTGTGCCACTTCCTTTATGCAGGGTAGAGCAGGGGTCCCCTTCTGGGACCCGTGGGAGCTGTGTTCACTGCCTCCAGCCCAGCCCCAGGCTCAGCCCACGTCCCGTCTTGCCCCTCTTACCTCTTAGAGCTGTGTGCCTCTACCACCTGAAGTCTCTGGAAGATTTCGGGTGGCAAAAAAGGAGACAGCTTCCCTCCTTCATCCGAGCACACGCGGCGGTGCCGGCTGGCAGGACAGGGGCCTGGAACAGCCACAGGCGTGGCTGGCTTCAGGTGCGTTTTGCCTGCAAGCCACACACATCCAGGGGTTAGCACGTGGGCCCGTGTCCCACAGAGATGCAGCTGTGGGGCCCCCCAAGGGAGCCTCCTCCTGCTGGGGACCCACCGAGCTTGGCTGCCGTCGACTGGGCCCTCTCCAGACACTGCTCAGCCAGCTTCAGCATCTTGGGAGTGTCAGGGGGCACCGCGTCCCCGGCCTCTGGGGACCGGACAAGAAGGCTGGTCAGTCAGCTCCATCACAAGTCAGGCGCTCACAGGGATGGACACCAGGGAGTGGGACGCTGGGCCAGCCCATGCCGCGCACCGTCACCTGCCCCGGGCTCCCTGCATGGCCACGCTTGTCCAGCCCAACATCAGCGCGGCTCTGCCTAACTGGAGCCCCTGCTCCTCGTGGAGGGTCTCGCTATGAAGGTGGAGCCTGCTCTCTCCATGGGGCCAGTGCACAAAGAGGGATGTGCCGAGGGGGTCTTCTGGCACATACCCCCCAATGTCTGTGCCCACAAGCCTGGCTTCCCGAGGGTGGGGCGCCAGCACCTCGTTTGCTACCCAACACGCTGCTGGCATGCTCCAGAGTGGGCCACTTGCCGGCTGCCTCTCCTCGTTCCACACCGCTTGAGCCCCTGACACCCCTGAACCTGTCCTTGCACATCCCAGCTTCCACTCCAGCTCTGTGTGCTCTCGGTCGGGGCTGCTCCTGCCCTCCACCTCCCAGGGCCCCAGGAGCCTGCAGGAGCGCACGGAGCTCACTCGCTGCCTGGCGCTGGGCGGCCTCCAGCTCTGGGCACCTCTCATGTGATGTGTGCACAGTGGAGCTCCCCATCCTCCCTTCACACGGCTGCTCCCGTCCCCACCTGCCTGGGTTCACCTTCAAGGTCCCTCCACAAGACCTGGGCTCCCCCCACCTCCTTGGGGCTCAAAGCCTCCGTGAGCTTCCCGGAAGCAGCCCTGCCCATCCTTGCATGCCCCTCTGCTGGGAATGCCCCACCTCAGTGAAACTCACTCCTTCCTTGCCCACCCGTGGACTCTGTGGACCATGGGTGCCCACTCAGTGTCTGCCCCCATTGCTGCGTCACCCCGACACTGTGTGGCTGGACAGCCAATGACCAGGCTGCAGGAAGACCCCTAGATCCGGGACCAGTGCCCAGGAAGGAGCAGAGGCGAAGCCATACCCTTGGCCCTCTCCATTTCTTCCAGCAGCACCTGGGAGATGTAGTGGACGCTCCGCAGGTATTCCGTATATGCCTCCTGTGGAGACAGCGGGGTCAGGCCAGCAGACGGGAGGAGCCCCCTGCCTGCCTGGCCCCTTGCGGGAAGCCCGGGAACAAGCCGCCTGCAGGGGTCCTCCGAGGTGTGCCCGGCAGGGACTGCAGCTGTGCCAGAGCCCCTCTTCCCACAGGACTGCCTCGCGCGGTGAGCGCCCATCCTCCCCCTCGCTGCCAGTCTCTCCAGCTAGGGAGGGCCTGAGGTTCCCACGGGGAGGGAGAGCTGCCACTTCTCACTGTGCAAGGAGTTCCTTCCTGTCAGCCCAAGGGTCACTCAGCCAGTGGCTTCCGAGCAAACTAGAGGGAGGGCTGTTGCAAGTCTTGGGACACTTCCTGGCTCGGGTCTGGGAAATCCCTTTCTCCGAACCCCAGCCCGGGTGGAACACTCGCCAGGGGCCAGGGCTCAGGGCACCGGGGCGCGCCTGTTTTACTTCAGTTGTCAAGCCGCCCGTCTTAAGGACAAAATGGGTTCCAGGCAGGATCTCTGGTTGCAGGGCTGCTGCTGCCCACAAACGCACCTCGGGAACGAGGGTGCCTCTCCCCGGCCCGCGCGGGCTCCTCGCGCCTCCCGGGCGGCCCAGCCGGCGCCTCGGCCCGGGGCGCGCCCCACGCGCGGGGACCAGTCACGCCCCTGCCCGGGCTCGCCCGCCCGGCCCAGCGCGAGGCCGGCTGCTTTCTGGCCGCCGTGAGTCCACTCCGCCAGCGAGGCCGGGCTCTGGGTCACGGGCCCACCGGACAGCCCGGGAGACCGAGGCCAGCAGGGGGCTGGGAGCTGTCCAAGGTCAAGAGCCAGCCGGGGGTCCAGGGCCTCCGTCCTCTCGCCCAGGAACCGCCAGGCGCAAGGACGGCTCTGCCCGGCCCCCGCGACCCCGGCGCGGGGCAGAGCCAAGTGCGACCCCCGCCGGGCGGCACCGGGACCCCCGGAGAGCGCCGCGGCGCCCGAGCTCCGCCCCCGCCTCGCCTCACCCGGGGCCGGTTGCCGGTGTCCAGCTCGATGGCTCCGTTGGCCAACTTCATGGCGCTCTGCAGCGGCTTCACCGCGGCGTCCCCGGCCGCAGCGGCCATGGCGCCGGGCGGCGACGCGGCGACGGCCGACGGCCGAGGCGGCCGAGGGGCGGGACGGGCGGCCGCAGCGCGGAACGCAGGGGCGCGGGCGCGGGGCCCGCCGGAGCAGCGGACCGCCGGAAGGGGCGCGGAGGTACTTCCGGAAGGGGCGCGGGGCACTTCCGGCTGCCCGCGGGGAGGAGGCCGGCGGGCGGGCGGGCGGGCGGCTGGGCGCCGGGCGGGTCCTGTCAGGGCCTGGGGGCGGGCCCGCGGGTTGGAGAGACGGAGGGGCCTTCTTGGGAGCTGCCGAGAGCGAGTCGGCGCAGCAGCGGCGTTTCCCTCCGCGTCGAGGACCTGCCTTGGAGCCTGTGCCGGCGTCCGCCCGCCCTGGGCCTGGCTCCTACCGGTGAGAGGCGGAGGCGGAGGCGCTGGCCGGCCGCGAGCTCTGGGGGCCGCGCCCTGTAGGCGGCAGCAGCGGGCACTGTCGCCCTGGGGCCGTAGCGGGGAGCGGCGGCGGGGTTCGACGTGGGTCCGCGGGGGCGCCGCCGCGTTCCTCTGCCCCACTCCATCTGGGTCGCGGGGGCCGGGCGGCGCCCTGCAGCGGGGCCGGCTCGGGCGCTTCCTGTCGCCCAGGGCGGCCCGGCAGCGCTGGGCCTCGGGCCTCGGGCCGGCTCGGGTCCGCCGCCCCGAACGTGGAAGGCCGCCAGGGTGGCGGCGGCACGATTTGGCTGGGTTCGGCGCAGGCCGGCGGGCGAGGTGGGTCCAGCCGGCTCGGAGGCCCGGTGACCTCGTACGCCCCTGCGCGCGGCCTGGCGGCCCACAGCCGACTGCGCCTTCCCCCGAAAGAGGCCCCTTCCGGCGGGTGCGGGCCGAGCGCAGGTCGACTCCGCTGCCCCTTCCGGCCTCTGCCCGGGACCTGTGTCCACACAGCCGCCTGGGCCCTAGGATCAAGCTTCGGATCAGACAGGTCTGGGCTTCCACGCGGTCTTGTCTCGTGCTTTGAGACCTCGGGAGAATCGCTTCCCTCTTTGCGTCCCCGTCTTCTGTTGGTTGAGTGGACCCGGAGGGTCTGGTGAGAACTGACTCCACTGTGTGACCCGCTTGCTCCCTGCCGGCCCTTTGCCGCTGGCGGCTCGTGGCTTCTCTTGTTGATTCCTGTGTGGAGGAAGCAGCTCTCCCGCCGGTGGTCACTCCGCAGTACTGGGGGCTGGGAGTGCAGTCCAGGGTGGCAGCGACCCACCGCCGCCTGCCGTCTCCACTGCCTCCACGGCTCTGCATTAGCAGGAAGCGGGTCGGGAGCTGGAGCCGGCGTGGAGCCAGGGACTCCGATACGGGGTGTGGGCCTGTCTTAACTGTTGGGCATCCCCTACACCTGGCCGAGAGGACGCCCGGGCAGAAGCTGAACATGCCGATTGTTTCCCTGAAGGCGCAGCCTTGACGCTGCTCTTTGGCTTTCAGTCCCACAGAGATGGCGCGAGGGGCATTCACAGTTCTTGGAAAGGCCCCTAGGGCCGGTGGCCTTGTTCCGAGCCCATGCCCTTGAAGGCTGGGTGCTCAGCCAGGAACGCCCGCTTCAGTCCTTCCCTCAGCCAGATGCCCAGGAGGCTGTTGATAGGGCGGGAGCCTCAGGCCACAGACACCTGCCTCCCTCCCTCTCTTTCTTTTCTTTTTTTTTTTTTAAGATCTGTATTTATTTGAAAGGCAGAGTTACAGACAGAGGCCTTCGATCCGCTGGTTCACTCCCCAGATGGCCGCGATGGCCGGAGCTGCCCTGATCCGAAGTCAGGAGCTTCCTCCAGGTCTCCCGCATGGGTACAGGGGCCCAAGGACCTGGGTCGTCTTCTACTGCTTTCCCAGGCCACAGCAGAGAGCTGGACTGGAACAGCCAGGACTCGAACCAGTGCCCGTATGGGATGCCGGCACTGCAGGTGGCGGCTCTACCCGCTATGCCACAGCACCGGCCCTAGACCTCTCAGTTTCTCGGCACTTGTGCCACGGAGGCCCTGTGCCCACTCACTGTTAACGTCCTCTCCTGCTTTCCCCAGGGCTGGCCGGGCTCTTGCCATGGGACACTGCCGCCTCTGCCACGGGAAGTTCTCCTCCCGGAGTCTGCGAAGCATTTCTGACAGGGCGTCTGGGGACAGCGCAGAAAGGCCGTTCCCAGGGGAGCGTGTGTTCGTCAGGGACTTCCAGCGCCTGCTGGGTGTGGCTGTGCACCAGGATCCAGCCTTGTCTCAGTTTGTCTGCAGGAACTGCCATGCCCAGTTCTACCAGTGCCACAGCCTCCTGGAGTCCTTCCTGCAGAGAGTGAATGTCTCCCCGATGGGCCAGCGGAAGCCTTGTGCAAAGTAGGTCTCACTGCAGGTTGAGCGGCTGCTCTAGGGCCAGGGAGTGCTGGTGGGAGCTTTGCTGTGGGGTGGGCAAGCTGTGCCTGGTTCTGCAGAGGCAGTTGGGAGCACCCCCAGGTGTTGTGAAGGGAAAAGGACAGGGTACTCACGGAGGGTAAAGGAGTTGGACATGTATATGTTGGATTCCGAGTGTGAGGGATGGACAGGTTCACACAGGATCTGAGTGTGAGTGTGGGGGATGGACAGGTTCACACAGGATCTGAGTGTGAGTGTGGGGGATGGACAGGTTCACACAGGATCTGAGTGTGAGTGTGGGGGATGGACAGGTTCACACAGGATCTGAGTGTGAGTGTGGGGGATGGACAGGTTCACACAGGATCTGAGTGTGAGTGTGAGGGATGGACAGGTTCACACAGGATCTGAGTGTGAGTGTGGGGGATGGACAGGTTCACACAGGATCTGAGTGTGAGTGTGGGGGATGGACAGGTTCACACAGGATCTGAGTGTGAGTGTGGGGGATGGACAGGTTCACACAGGATCTGAGTGTGAGTGTGGGGGATGGACAGGTTCACACAGGATCTGAGTGGTGAGTGTGGGGGATGGACAGGTTCACACAGGATCTGAGTGTGAGTGTGGGGGATGGACAGGTTCACACAGGATCTGAGTGTGAGTGTGGGGATGGACAGGTTCACACAGGATCTGAGTGTGAGTGTGGGGATGGACAGGTTCACACAGGGTGTGAGTGTGAGTGTGGGGATGGACAGTTCACACAGGATCTGAGTGTGAGTGTGGGGGATGGACAGGTTCACACAGGGTGTGAGTGTGAGTGTGGGGGATGGACAGGTTCACACAGGATCTGAGTGTGAGTGTGAGGGATGGACAGGTTCACACAGGATCTGAGTGTGAGTGTGGGGGATGGACAGGTTCACACAGGATCTGAGTGTGAGTGTGGGGGATTGGACAGGGTCACACAGGATCTGAGGGTGTAGTGTGGGGGATGGACAGGTTCACCAGGATCTGAGTGGAGGTGGGGGTATGGACAGTGTCACACAGGATCTGAGTGTGAGTGTGAGGGTGGACAGGTTCACACAGGATTCTGAGTGTGAGTGTGGGGGATGGACAGGTTCACACAGGATCTGAGTGTGAGTGTGGGGGATGGACAGGTTCACACAGGATCTGAGTGTGAGTGTGGGGGATGGACAGGTTCACACAGGATCTGAGTGTGAGTGTGAGGGATGGACAGGTTCACACAGGATCTGAGTGTGAGTGTGGGGGATGGACAGGTTCACACAGGGTGTGAGTGTAGTGGGGGGATGTAGGCAGTTCACACAGGATTGAGTGTGAGTGTGGGGGGCTATAGGGACAGGTTCACACAGGATCTGAGTGTGAGTGTGAGGCGTGAACAGGTTCACACAGGATCTGAGTGTGAGTGTGGGGGATGGACAGGTTCACACAGGATCTGAGTGTGAGTGTGGGGGATGGACAGGTTCACACAGGATCTGAGTGTGAGTGTGAGGCGTGGACAGGTTCACACAGGATCTGAGTGTGAGTGTGGGGGATGGGCAGGTTCACACTGGTTCTGCCTGTGAAGGGAATGGACAGATTTGAACATGTTTACACAGGCTCTGGGTATGAGGGTGGACAGGTTTACACAGGCCTGGGTGTAGGGGTGGACTGGTTTATACAGGCTGTGGGTGTGACGGTGGACAGGTTCACACAGGCTGTGGGTGTAGGGGTGGACAGGTTTACACAGGTTCTGAGTGTGAGGGGTGGACACACTTAGGGCTCTCAGTGAATGCACAGGTTTATACTTAGCCCTGTGTATGCAGGAATGGGCAGGTTCACACAGGTTCTGAGTGTGAGGGGTGGACAGATGTGCCCGCACTACTGAGTATTAGAAGATGTATGGGTGGCCGGCGCCGTAGCTCACTAGGCTAATCCTCCGCCTGCAGCGCCGGCACACCGGCTTCTAGTCCCGGTCGGGGCGCCAGATTCTGTCCCGGTTGCCCCTCTTCCAGGCCAGCTCTCTGCTGTGGCCCGGGAGTGCAGTGGAGGATGGCCCAGGTCCTTGGGCCCTGCACCCACATGGGAGACCAGGAGAAGCACCTGGCTCCTGGATTCAGATCTGCGCAGCGCGCCGGCCACAGCAGCCATTGGAGAGTGAACCAACGGCAAAAGGAAGACCTTTCTCTCTCTCTCTCTCTCTCTCACTGTCCACTCTGCCTGTCAAAAAAAAAAGAAGATGTATGGGTGTACTCAGGGCTCCAAGTGTAAGGGTGATGGCCAGGGGTGCACAGGTCTGGGTGTGAGTGGATCAACAGGTTTACACAGGGCTCTGAGTGTGAGGATTGTTTTAGGTTTTATCTGGGCTCTGAGTGTGATGGGATAGACAGGTTTCAGAGGCTACTGAATCTTTACAGGGTCGGCGCCCAGCCCCCAACGGTGGCGGAGGAGGGAGCATTTCTAGGTGAGTTGCCCGTCCTGGGTGCAAGAGTGGGCTCCTAGGGTGGGCTGGGTGCTTGCAGCCATGGGATGACGTCTCTGCTGATTCCTCAGGGGATCTCATCACCTCCAGCTCTCGGTGCCTGCACAGCTTGGTAGGGTGGGTGCATGGACACGCAGCCAGCTGCGGGGCCCTACCCACCCTTCAGAGAACGCTGGCCTCCGAGTACTGTGGTGTCATCCAGGCCATGTGGGGCTGCGACCAGGGCCACAACTACACCATGGACACTGACTCCAGCTGCAGGGCCCTCCTGCTGGACAGCGCCTTGTCAGTGAAGTGGGCGTGGGACAAGGAGATGGCACCGCAGCTCACCCACAGCCAGGCATCCAGCCCCTCGGGGACTGCCCCTCAGGTCTCCCAGGGCAGAGGACCACACTGCCCAGCATGGACGTGGCCCCTCCTCCAGATGGCAACCCTATGGGGCCTGGGCCAGGCCCCCCACCGCAGCCAAGCCCACCCCTCATTGGGGCCCCAGGTAGGAAGCACGTTTGACCTGTTCTAGACCAGGATTGCATTTTCCTGAGCGGGGCGGGATCACGATGTGGCGCCCCGAGGGTGGGAAGACAGGGAGCCAGTCAGTGCTCCTGTGAGTGGCAACTGTGTGCGGCCCTGGGCACAGCGGGCACGGCTGCCAGCCTCTCTCAGGCTTTATTTTCTAGTAAGACTCTTTCTTTTTAAAAGATTTGCTTATATTTGAGAGGCAGAGTTAGAGAGAGAGAGAGAGAAATGTCTTCCATCTGCTGGTTTACTTCCCAGATGGCTGCAATGATCAGGAGCCGGGAGCTTCTTCCCGGTCTCCCGCACAGGTGCAGGGGCCCCAGCACTTGGGCCGTCTTCGACTGCCTTCCCAGGCACGTTAACAGGGATCTGGGTCGGAATAGGAGCAGCCGGAACTTGAGCCAGTGCCGACGGGATGCTGCGCCACAGCACCAGCCTGTCTCGGCCGCTTGTTCCTGCACAAGCAGGACCCGGGTTATCAGTTGGTGTGAGGACAAGTTCGCCTGGTGCCTAGCCTCTGCGAGCCTGTGCTCCGGGCCGAGTGCGCCAGTCTGTCTGGTGGTTCAGGAGCCGCGGAAGAGGGAAGAACAGGGCCCTTGTCTGTGGGACGTGGGGAAGAGAATGAGGCCCTGGTGTCAGCCGGCTCCCCGGTGACGCCTGCTGCCGGGCTGAGGGAAACACAGGGTCCTTCCCTGGGGACCAGGCCCTGTCCGCATACGGCAGACTTTGGGGTGACTGCCCAGAGTTTTGTGTTAGGGCCATGGCCAGCTTCGTGCTTGCCCCTTCTGTCTTGCCTGTACATGGCTAGCCCCCCCCCGGGAGTCCTCAGCTGGTTCAGCTGGACAGACACTCGGGTGGCACACAGCCCCACGGCCGGCTGCAGGTGGGGAACGGAGTCGTGTGTCGCAGGCAGCTTAGACCTGCTCGGCTTTGTAAGTGCTGTGTATGTGATACGTTGATAACGGCAGCTTTAAGAATGTCTGAAAACACATTTCGCACAGAGTACAGCTCGGTCCCACCTGCAGCTGGACCTGAATCTGTAGGGAGGAGCCGGCCTTGCCACGGTGGACTGTCCCCCAGGGTTTCTGATCTCGGCGCTGTGGCTGTGGCGGACAGGGGTTGGGGCTGGGTGAGGAGGTAGTGGGTTTGAGGCTAGGGCACCCCAGGTTCCCATCACGAAGGCTGTGCCGTCAGCTGAGGGAGGTGAGGCGCTTTGCCGTGCTGTGTCGGTAACAGGAGCCTGTTCTTTGTTTCTCAGGGCAATTGGGTGAGAAGCAGGTTCCCTCTTCAACCTCGGATGATCGGGTAAAAGACGAGTTCAGTGACCTTTCTGAGGGGTGAGAGAAGAGTGGGTTTAAATAGCCTAATGTTTCTCCTTCGAAAACCAGAGTTGGCCATCCTGGGGGCCGTTGCCCACGCCCTGCTCGGGACGCTGTCCCTGTTGTGGTGGGAGGAGAGGAGTGGCCAGGTCCCAGAGGGTCCCGGGACCTGACGCAGCTGCGGAGGCCGCTGGCTGCTGCTGTGCTGTGTCTGACCCAGAGCAGTGTGGAGTTACTTGGAACTGTGCTGTGCTGGGGTCATTTGCTTCTGCCTGCTGTTTCTCCCTTAAAGGCCTCAGTTTCGTACCAACCCCGGATGTCACCAGGCCAGAGGAAGCCAGATTCTAGCCCTTTGTGATCACCCTGTTGGGACTTGCAGCAGAGTCCCTGTGCAGGAGGCAGGGAGGGCGGACAGTCCTGGAGTGGGCCCCCAGGCCAGCCCCGGCCTCTGGGTGACCGCTGCTCAGAACAACTGCCACACTCCAGGCTGGCGTTCGCCCTGCGAACCCCATGCAGCTGGCTTTTGGTACAACCCCAGTGGGGTACCCGGTGAGGAAGCAGATGGCTCGAGGCCGGCCTCAGGCTGCCAGCCAGTCTCAGGCCTTTCTCCATCCAGGCCGTGGTGGCCCGTGAGGAGCGACTGTGGGCCTGCCAGCCTGGCTGTTTGCAGCCCTGCAGACTAAGCAGAAAGCCACGCCTCAGGGCAGACATCGGGTCTTTCTCTGCCTTTGTGTTGCGTGTGGAAGTGGCTGACGGTGAAGCTGTCAGCCGAGCGCGCGCTCGCAGTCACACGGTAGGGCGTGACTGGCGGAAGACGCCCTCTGTCCAGAAGCCGTCTCCTGAGTCTTCGCACCTCCTGGGCAGCACCGTAAGGCCGTTCCTGAGCTTGGGGTCCTGGAGAGCCGGCTTCCGGGGGTGGCCAGCGTGTGCGCTTCTGGTGACCTGCTCTGTCCTCTTAGGAAAGGGATTGGAGACCTGGGGAATCTTAGGTTTTCCACGTCATTTTCAGGAGGACTAAAACATGGGGCTGGGGTTCTCACGGGCCTGAGACAGGAGTCCTTGGGTCTGTCCCCCACTGCGGGCCAGGGCTTCGCTCAAGGCTCCCTCTTCTTTCCTAGAGATTGCCCGAGTGACGATGACAACACCAGGAAGCAGCATCCCCAGTCCTCAGATGAATCCTTCGAGCCTTACCCAGAAAAGAAGTAAGGGGACAGCCCCGCCACAGCGCACGGGGCGAGGGGGTGGCGCGAGGGGCGCACGCGAGGTCAGCACGCGGCGCCGCTCTGCCTCCCTCAGCTCACTCTGCCCGGAGCGATGTGGCTTCTGAGAGTGAGCCAGGGGCCGGTGAGGAGGCCCAGCTGAGCAGGTAGGTTCCCCTCGGCCACCAGCCTCCTCCCGGTGGCAGTGCAGAGCTGGGACCAAGCACGTGAGCGTCTCGCCGTGAGGTGGTTGGCGGGTTGTGCAGGGCTGCCTCCGCCGTCGGGAACGGCGGGGACCTGTGTGGACGGGACCAGCCTTGTTCCCTTCCGACAGAGCCGTCCCTGCTTGCTCGCCGTGTCTCCTTGACTGCCCAGCTGTCCCCCCCCCCCCATCCTTCTCTCTTCTCCCTGGTCTGTGTGTGCCCTGAGGCCCAGGGACCCAGCCCTCTGATCACTCTGAACTCTGACAGTGATGTCTGGGGCCAGGCAGCCATCACCTGCTTGGGGTTGAATTACCCATGACCTTATTTTGACCTTTTTCAGGATTTGTCTTCTCTCGAGTCAGGGCACGGGGTCCTGGCTTTCACTGTCACTTTCCTCTCAACCCCAAAGCCCTGCTCTAGCTGAGGATGGCCTTGCTCCTCGTGCTGAGCCTCGCACAGTGCAGGATGAGATCCAGAGAGAGAGCAGCGCAGTGCTGCACTGTCAGCCAGGAGCCCACGAGAAGATTGAGGCGTAAACTCGACGTCTTTTTCTCATGGAAGCCCTGACTTTGGTTGCCGAGAGAGAAATAGGAAGAGTAGGAGGCATGGAGCCTGGAGAGATCAAAATCGGAACACAGAAACGTGCCCGAAGCACTTGAGTGCGCATGGGCAGACAGGAAGCTGGCTGGGGGCCACCAGGCAGGGTCCAGTGGTCACAGGAAGCGTGGCAGGGGCTTCTGTCAGGAGGACCCTGCTCCTTCTTCATTGAGCGCCCCAGCCTGAGCAGAACCCTGGAGTCCCACGTAGAGTGTGCCCGTGGGCCCGTGCCCAGCGTGGGTGTGGAGCAGCAGTGCTGGGGGCAGAGGCTGGGGCGGGAGAGGAGAGCCCTGCGCTGACAGGAGCGGCGCTCTCCCGCTTCACTCGCTGGTCCCTGCAGGGCCCCAGGTGCAAGCAGAAACGATAGTAAAGGCTTCTGGGAAAAGGGGGGGGGGTTACTTGAGTGGAAACTGCACTTGTGCGAGAGGCGGGAGTGGGCAGTAGTGGACGTGGACCTCTGCTGATGGTCTGCCCAGAGGCACTCGGTTCCTGGGTGCCGTGAGTGCGTCACAGCTGGAAACTGCGAGGACAAGGCCCCGAGCAGCCCCGTGTCTGTATGTCCCGTTCTCTCCTGAGCATGGACAGGGTTCTGGCAGGCTGGGGCAGACGAGCCGTGCCTTGACGGGTTAGAGTATCGTGGGTCCAGCCCGGGGCAAGCCCACACCTGGGCCACTGAAGGGCCTGGACGGCCAAGCAGCAGAGGCCAGTGCCCAGCCAGCACCTGGCAGAGTCTACACTGAGTGGTCGTTTGCTGGGGAAGTGGCCAGTCCCCGACAGAGAAGGCTGTGCCAGCCGGCAGCTGGGGACACGGCCCTGGTCGGGAGGCTCGCCTCCTCTCTCAAGTCTGTCTGTGAGGGGACTGACGTCTCCGCATGTCCCCGCACGGTCCACTTCCCCAGCCTGCGTGCAGAGGCTGTTGCTGGAGGCTTCCCTGCGTACGTGCACGACTTTGCCATTAAGCAGTGGCAGCGTGACAGCCGTCAGCACTGCCGCACTGTTTGCAAACGCGCCTTCCGCACAGAACCTGTGCTCGTGAGCAAACTCCCTCCCTCCTCCCCCACCCGCCCGGGCCCTGGCAGCTGCTGAGCTAGGTGCCTGGTCTAGGTGAGCTTCATCCGTGCAGTAGCCCACGTGAGACTCGTTCCTTCTGTGGCTGAACACTGTTCCTTGCATGGTTACAGCCCAAGTGTGGATCTGTTCATTTGTTGATCTAGGTGTCACCACCTTTCGACTCTTGGGAATAATGATGTGGACACTGTTGCTTGTGTTTGAGCCCCTGTTTTTAATTCTTTGGGCATCAACCTAGAAGTAGAATTAACTGAATCATTCAATAAGTAATTTTGTGTTTAGCTTTTAAAATTTTTTTTACAAGTTCATTGATTTTTTTTATTTATTTTTTATTATTTTATTTTTTGACAGGCAGAGTGGACAGTGAGAGAGAGAGACAGAGAGAAAGGTCTTCCTTTGCCGTTGGTTCACCCTCCAATGGCCGCCGCGGCTGGCGCGCTGCGGCCGGCGCACCGCGCTGATCCGAAGGCAGGAGCCAGGAGCCAGGTGCTTTTCCTGGTCTCCCATGGGGTGCAGGGCCCAAGCACCTGGGCCATCCTCCACTGCACTCCCTGGCCACAGCAGAGAGCTGGCAACTGGGACAGAATCCGGCGCCCCAACTGGGACTAGAATCCGGTGTGCCGGCGCTGCTAGGCGGAGGATTAGCCTAGTGAGCCGCGGCGCCGGCCTAGTTCATTGATTTTTAATTTATCTGGAAGGCAGAGCAACAGAGAGAGCCAGAGATAGAAAGAGAGGGGTCTTCCATCAGCTGGTTCACCCAAAGCCTGCAACAACCAAGGCTGGGCTGGCTGAAACAGGAGCCCGCAGTTCCACCTGGGTCTCTCATGGGTGGCAGGGGCCCACGTGCTCCCTCCCAGGTGTGCGCCTGCAGGAAGCTGGCTGGGAAGCAGCGGGAGGACTTGGGCCTGAGGCCCCCGGCATAGGATGTGTGCCGCTCAGTCGGGGGTTAACCCACTGTATCACAGGTATCTTCCTTCTCCCTATGGATTGTGTTTTTTTGAGTGACAGAGAAAGAAAACACACTCCTATCCCCTGGTCCACTTGCCAGATACCCACGATGCCTCGGGCTGGGCTTGGCTAAAGCCAGGAGCAAGAAACCGAGTCCAGGTCTCCTGTGTGGGTGGCCGGAGCTCAGTCGCTTGAGTCAGCACCACTGCGTGCTTCAGCAGGACGCTGGGCTGGGACTCGAACCCGGGACACCAGGGTCCTTCCTCTCACACTGTTAATAGTGATATACAAAGGATTAAATTTAGTTTTTAAAGATTTATTTATTTGAAAGAGTTACACAGAGCAAAGGGGAGAACGAGAGAGAGGAGAGAGGTCTTCCCTCTGCTGGTTCACTCCTCAGCTGGCAGCAGCGGCCAGAGCTGCGCCGATCCGAAGCCAGGAGCCGGCAGCCTAAGCGAAGTCCATTCCGCCTGCACTCACTTGTGCTGCCTGTGCCGCGTCAGGCTGAAGGAACGGGTGCCAAACCCAAGATCGCGAGACCTGCTCCCGTGTGCTCTTGTGAGAGTCAGTTCTCGCTTAGATTCGGTCATGACGCATTCGAGTTAATGTTTGTGCGGTGTAAGGGGCCCGGCCTCAGTCTCTGCACGGGGAAATGCAGCTGTCCCCGCGTCCCGGGTGGGGACGCCGCTCCTCCACGGACGGGCTCGGGGCCCCTGTGGAAGTGTGTGGTTTCAGTTCTGGTGGATTGGCCTGTGTCCATCCTTAACGCCAGTAACACACTGTTTTGATTAGTGTAGCTTTGTAGTGAGTTTGGGAATAGAAAAATTTGAGTCTTCCATCTTTGTATGTTTTTCAAATTTGTTTTGGCTGTTCAGTGTACCTTGAAGTTCCATGTTAAATCTTAGATGTGATTTCTCATTGCTTCTTTAAAATTTGTACTTATTATTTGGGAAGCAGAGACACAAAGAAACAGGTTTCTATCCACTGATTCACTCTCTTAATGCCCGCGACAGACAGGGCTGGGTCAGTCCAAAGCCAAGGGCCTGGAACCCAGAAATTCAGGTTCACACATGGGTGGCAGGGACCCAATCCTGCCGGCTCCCAGGGTGGAGCAGCTGGATGGCCAGGACAGGAGTCAGGCACTCCGGTGTGGGCTGCAGAGACCCCAAGTGGACTTAACCTCACTGCGAAGACCTGCGCCCCATCGTGACTCCCGCGGGACTGCAGGGACAGCGGCAGTGTGTCCTTGGCGTGATCCAGTGCCCGCTCCTGTCCTCGCCCCGTCACGACTGCCACAGGGACCACAGGGACTGGGCCACGTCAGGGCCACACTGCCGGCTGAGCAGTGCCCGCTCCTGTCCTCGCCCCGGGCTGCCTTCCCACTCCCTGTCTCACCCTGTCAGATGGCTTACAGTTTCCAGTGTCTGTGTCTTTCCCTTTCTTGGTTAATTTTGTTCCGAAGCATTTTATTCTTGATGCTATTCTAAGCGCATTGTTTTCTTTTTTTTCTTTTTCTTTTTTTTTTTTTGACAGGCAGAGTGGACAGTGAGAGAGAGAGACAGAGAGAAAGGTCTTCCTTTGCCGTTGGTTCACCCTCCAATGGCCGGCGCGCTGCGGCCAGTGCACCGCGCTGATCCGATGGCAGGAGCCAGGAGCCAGGTGCTTTTCCTGGTCTCCCATGGGGTGCAGGGCCCAAGCACCTGGGCCATCCTCCACTGCACTCCCTAGCCACAGCAGAGGGCTGGCCTGGAAGAGGGGCAACCGGGACAGAATCCGGTGCCCCGACCGGGACTAGAACCTGGTGTGCCGGCGCCGCTAGGCGGAGGATTAGCCTAGTGAGCCGCAGCGCCGGCCAGCGCATTGTTTTCTTAATTTCTTTTTTATTGTTTGTTGTTAGTGTTTGGAGTTTGTGTAGATTTCTTTTATTAGGGTTTTTTCTGGGTGGATTCTTCAGGGTTTTCTACCTGCAAGGTCATGTCATCTGTGAAATCTGTGGGGAGAGAGAATTCTTTTCCTATTTTTTTCTTTTTCTTTTTCTTTTTTTCTTTTTTGACAGGCAGAGTGGACAGTGAGAGAGAGACAGAGAGAAAGGTCTTCCTTTGCCGTTGGTTCACCCTCCAATGGCCGCCGCGGCCGGCGCACTGCGGCCGGCGCACCGCGCTGATCCGATGGCAGGAGCCAGGAGCCAGGTGCTTTTCCTGGTCTCCCATGGGGTGCAGGGCCCAAGCACCCGGGCCATCCTCCACTGCACTCCCTAGCCACAGCAGAGAGCTGGCCTGGAAGAGGGGCAACCGGGACAGAATCCGGCGCCTCAACCGGGACTAGAACCCGGTGTGCCAGCGCCGCTAGGCGGAGGATTAGCCTAGTGAGCCGCGGCGCCGGCTTATTTTTTTCTTTTTCTTGCAAATTGCCAGCCCAGGCCCTCTGGTGCTGTGTGGGAGGGACAGAAGGGTGAGAGTGGCATCCTCCTTTGGCTTCTCAGAGGGAAGGCTTTCAGCCTCTAACAATTTAGTGTATTTGCTGTGGGATTCCCCCCCCCCCCAATTGTTATTTAAGAGGCAGAGAGAGACACAGAAATCTCCATCCAGTGTCTGCCACAGCCGGAGCTGGGCGAGGCTGAACCCAGAGCCAGAAATTCAACCCAGGTATCCCACCAGCGGCAGGAGTCCAAGTGCGTGAGCCGTCATTTGCTGCCTCCCTAGGTGCACATTAGAGGAAGCTGGGGTGGGAGTAGAACCAGGGATTGAACCTAGGGTTCTGACACGGGACTCAGGTGTCCCCAGTGGCACTGCCCCTGCTGTGGGTGTTTACGTGTGGCCTTCCCCATGACAAGCAAGTTTTATTACCAACAGATTTTCCTAAACGTCTCGATTCAAAAAGGAACAAGTGCGTTTAGTAAGTTTTTTGCTCGACCTCCTTGGGGTCAGCTACAGACTAGTTAAAATGCACAACCCCAAATTCTTGGAGGCCAAGGTCTCCACTGTCCACTCCGGCCCTAGCCAGCTGCTCCGGGAATTCAGGTTGGGAAGGAAGTGGGAGATGATCGCGTGTGCAGCGTAGTAGGCCTCTCTCTGGCTCCAGTGAGGGGCTGCTCAGCTGTTTCCTCACGCACGGTCATTGTAAAGGGACTGACCCCCAAAGCTTCCCTGGGTCACCGTGTTCCAGGTCTCCGGCCAGCACCCCCTTCCCCCGTGCAAGTGTGTTCCTCTCTACTGCACTCCGCTCCTCCGCCTTTGGGGTACATTCTCCCCCACCTTCCCAGGGGCTGGGCCAGGCCTTCAACTTCCCACCGAGAGCTGGTATGGCTTGGTGGCTCTAGCTGGAGTCAGGGCCCCTCAGTTAGGGAAGCTTAGGGAAACCCTGTCCCTTGTTCTTAAACAAGGACGAGAAATGTTTGCGAGTAGACCCTGGACACATCACTCATCTGGTCTTTGTTGTCAGGGTCTCTGGTAAGAAGAGTGAAAGCAAAGAAGCCAAGAAGACCGAAGAACCAAAAATCCGCAAGAAACCCGGGCCCAAGCCCGGCTGGAAGAAGCAGCTGCGCTCTGAGAGGTGAGGGGTCCTCAGCGGGGGCTGCCCTGCCTGTGGCAGCAGCGCCGCCACACGAGCTGTCCTTGCAGGGAGGAGCTGCCCACCATCTACAAGTGTCCTTACCAGGGCTGCACAGCCGTGTACCGAGGGGCTGACGGCATGAAGGTGAGGCGCGGGCACCCGGTGTTGGTGAGCCTGGGCTCCTGCTGAGCCAGGCGTGGCCTTGGGCCCAGGACTCGCGGGAGCCTGGGCTGAGGGAGGCGTGCGGCCTGGGACGGGGTGACTTAGAGCCAGCTCTTCACTCCGGAGGGGCTCGGCGGTGTGGAGCCGGTGCACCTGCATCTGCCCGCCTTCCAGGGTGCTCAGCCCTCGCCTGTGAGGACACTGGGGGGCCTGTGGGGCGTGGGGCTTCGGCCAGGGAGGCACTCGGGTCTCTCGCTGGCCCCTTTACAGAAGCACATTAAGGAACACCACGAGGAGGTCCGAGAGCGGCCCTGCCCCCACCCCGGCTGCAACAAAGTTTTCATGATCGACCGCTACCTGCAGCGCCACGTGAAGCTCATCCACACAGGTACCTGCTCCGATGCTGCCCTAGAAGCACCCGAGTGGGGGGGGGGCGCCTGGGGGGACTTGGGAGCCTTCCAGGAGTCTCAGGTGCCCACTCAGGTGGGGGCTGCAGTCTGAAAGACAAACCCACCAGTCCTGCCTGAGGTATGGTCTCTAGGTTCAAAGTCATGAAAACTGACAGCACAGGAAACTCTAGTGCACTTCTGGGAGTTGATCAGATACATTGTAGAACCCTTTTCAGATTAGAAAATAGCTCATGTTCATTATAGAAACTGAAAAATGAGAAACGCCTAAGATGGTGAAAGTTTATTTGGAAGGCAGAGTGTGAAAGACAGACCTTTGTTTCGTCTGCTGGTCACCAGGCTGGGCCTGGAACTCCACCTGTGGGCACAGGGACCCAGTACTTGAGCAGCAGCACCTGCTGTCTCCCAGGGTGGAGGCAGGAGGTGAGCCAGGCACGCCGACGTGGATGCAGGCGCCCACCGGAGCCCGCGTGACTTAGCTGTGTGGTTCCTGCATCGTAGACGTGCTGTGTGACACAGGCACTGCTGCTGTCCGTGCCGTCCGTGAGGCCAGCAGTCCTGGGCCGCGCTCCGGCCCGCTAACCGAGGGCCCACTGCAGCTATTCTGCCGCCCAGCCAACATGGAGTTGACAGCTGACCCCAGAGTCGTCTTCATCAGCTCTCACGCATCCCAGTGAACGGCTTTCCTGTTCTGCTCTGAGTGTTCTCACGCGGGTCTCCCGATGCAGTCGTGTTTTGGGCTATGTTCTTCCAGCCGTGCGTCTCAGTCCAGTTCCGGCGGTCACACCTGCTCTCTAGTGCCCGAGACACTGTAGATCCAGGTCTTGGAAGGAGTCTGGGGAGCTGCTGTAGGTATTGCACAGACGTGCGGGCGGCACACTGCGGTGGGGCGTGTGTGCCCCGCGTGGAACTGGCTTGTTTCCACAAGTTGATGGAGCCATTTATACGCCCCGTCCGCACTGGTTGGACGGGTCATCACAGCCTGTGCCCCCAGTTACAGACAGTCTCCCCTGCCCCTGTGCTGTCCACATCCATGTAACATGGAGACGTCTAGAGCTGGGATGCCTCCTCCGTGAAGCCTCTCCTGACTGCCTGTCTCTAGGCTTCGGAGCTCATGAAGGGGTCTTGAAACTGAGCTTGAGGGGGTGGCATTGTGCACCAGGTCAGGTTGTCACCGGGACAGCCACGTCCCACATCCGAGGGGCAGCTGGGCAGGAGTCCTGGCCGTTGTTTCCGATCCAGCCCCCGGTAATGTGCCTGGGACCCCCAGGATGGAGTTTGTGGTCTAGCCACAGCTGCTGGGGCTGTCTGGGTGAAGCAGATGGGAGGCCCCTCCCTCTGCCTGCCCAGTCACCAGGGGTGGGGACGGGCCGAGTCCCGCCTGTGCTGCCGCAGCACCTTGGGAGAGCGCGGGCGCCCGCATCAGACACCTGGGAGGAGATCCGGGCTGTTGCATTTTAACTGTTCAGATGTCTGGAATGTACAAGGGAAGGCTGGACATAGGCAGTATTTTCGAGCAGTTTGGAAGTCTGTTAGAACAGGCCCTCTCTCCGGGCTGCAGAGGCCCTTGCCTGGGCCCGGCTGCTCTCGGTCCTGGCGCCAGCCCCGGTCCTCCGCCCGCCTGTCTTGCAGAGGTGCGCAACTACATCTGTGACGAGTGCGGGCAGACCTTCAAGCAGCGCAAGCACCTCCTGGTACACCAGATGCGCCACTCGGGAGCCAAGCCCCTGCAGTGCGAGGTCTGTGGCTTCCAGTGCAGGCAGCGGGCGTCGCTCAAGTACCACATGACCAAACACAAGGCAGAGACTGAGCTGGACTTCGCCTGCGACCAGTGCGGCCGGCGCTTCGAGAAGGCCCACAACCTCAACGTGCACATGTCCATGGTACATCCTCTGACCCAGACCCAGGACAAGGCCCTGCCCCTGGAGGCAGAGCCACCGCCCGGGCCACCACACCCCTCTGGGACCACGGAAGGCCAGGCCGTGAAGCCTGAGCCCACCTGAGGACCGACGTGGGCCGCAGGGCCTGTGAGCAGCCTGAAGGCAGCAGGGGTACGGGGGACTGCACACAGCACCCCAGGGTGCAGGACGCCCGCTCCCTGGGAACCCATGCTATCTATACCCCCCACCTCCGCTCCGCGTGTGGGCGTGGGGCCTGTGGGGCCTGTGGGGCTGTGCAGAGCTCTCGCAGCCCTTCTGCCCTCTGCTGTGGGCCAGTGGTTTGTTGTCATCCCACACTGTAGCGGCTTGGGCGCCAGACTATAAACCATTGCCCCTTTTCTCCACTAAAGCGATTCAGGAGATTTGTAATCCACTTCCCAGTGCGACACGTGCGACGCAAGCTCCGCCCTAGGCTGGGACAAACTATTCACAAGGTGCCGGGTCCAGTCAGAACAGCTGGGGCTCGCGGTAGAGGCTGGGGTCTGCCACGGTCAGCGGCTGCCTGCCCAGAAGGGCGGTGCTCACCTCGGGGTCCCAGTCTCCACGCCCGGCCAGCAGCTGTGAGAAAACACGTGTTCAGCCCCGCTCAGGGGTGCCGAGGGAAGGGCTGGCTGGTGAGGGGCTCGGCCGTGCGCCCGTGCCCACAGGTTGCCCCGGGCGCCAGACGCCCTCTTACCTCCGCCACGTCTGAGCAGCTCTTCCTGGGACACTGCGGTATCAACTGCAGCAGAAAGTCGCGAGCTTTTGTTACCAGTTCCACAGGGCTTCCCTGGAGAGGACGGCGGGGCTGCGGGTCAGAGGGCTCCTGCAGCCTGCCCGGCCTCGGAGGGAGCCTGCCACCTGCCACGGGGGGAGTGCTTGCCTGCTCCTGGAGCTCCCGGCTCCCGCTGGCTGGGGTCACCACGGCACTCGTCTCCCCGTCCACGAAGAGCTGGCGCAGCTTCAGGTACATGTCCACAGCGACACGCAGGAAGGCGGCCTCCCTGACCGCGGTGGCGTCCCGCCAGTAGGGGAGGAGGCTGGAGGCCAACACGGGAGGTGCCACTTGACTGACAGGTGGACAGGTGAGTGGCAGCACAGGGAGGGCGCTGGACGCCTGAGCGACCAGCGCCACGCCAGCCCTTCCCGGGACGGGAGCCTCTGAGTAGGGCCGACACGCCAGCCCAGCGGGCAGTTACCTGTAGAAGGCGAACGGCAGCAGCCTGGTGTGCCGATCTGGGGCCACGCGGAGGAGGAGGCGACCCAGCCCGGCATCTGCAGTGTTGGGGGGGGTCCGTCAGTTCCCTGGCGGTCTCTGCCCCAGTCATTCTTGGGGGCTCCCTGGGGGTGTGGGAAGGCCTGCGCCTGGCTGCAGGACGCAGCTGCTTGGAGGGGGGGGGTGCCTTCCTGCTGGAGGCAGACCCTCCCTCTTGCACACGGCAGGCCTGCGGGTGCTGCCCCCGCTCTGCAATAAATTCTTCAGCTTTTATTAAGTTTTCACTCAATCTGTCCCAGTGAAACCAGAGGTGCTATCAATTTAGCAGGGAGATACACTGAAAACAGTGTGCAAGGTGCGTCCCGCCTGCTTGTGAAGAGCCCGACAAGCTGCTGCGGCTGCTGGCCACGTCAGAGGGACCCAGCGTCCGCTTTCCGAGCCAGCGCAGGGTCTTACCCGCCTCTGTCAACTGGAAGAGCCCCAGCCAGGGTATCCCCCGCTGCTCCAGACACAGGAGGATCTCCGCACAGACATGCAGAGCCTTCCGGGGGTCGGCAGTGCCCTGTGGCCCAGGGGAGAAGATGCTGAGGCTGGCTCAGGGCTGCCGGAGCTCGCCTCTCACCGAGAGTGGGGTGGGTACAGGAGCCCTCGGTACAGGGGGCTCTGCCCAGCCCGCTGTGCCCCGTGGCTGATGACCCCACGTCCGAGTGCTGCGACTCAGCTTCCCGCCCCCCCCGGTGCCACCAGACCTGAGAGCACCGACTCACGTTTGGGGTCAGCCGTGTGGAGAGCAGGCCCATCAGAGAGAAGAAGAAGAGGGAAACCATCAGCTGCTGGTGAAAACATGTTTCTGTGAAAGGCGTAGCAGCTCTGCCCTGACACCGTCATACACCTGGGACCCACGTCCCGGAAGGGGGCCCTCTGAGGTTCCCACTGGGGCCGCGCTGTAGCGCAGTGGGTAAAGCCCCGCCTGAAGCGCCAGCCTCCCAAATGGGCGCTGGTTCAAGTCCCGGCTGCTCCACTTCCTATCCAGCTCTCTGCTGTGGCCTGGGAGAGCAGTGGGGGATGGCCCACGTCCTTGGGCCCCTGCACCCGCGTGGGAGACCCGGAAGAGGCTCCAGGCTCCTGGCTTTGGATCAGTGCAGCTCCAGCCGCCGCAGCCACTTGGGGAGTGAACCAGTGGATGGAAGACCTCTCTGTCTCTACCTCTCTAACTCTTTCAAATAAATAAAATAAATCTTAAAAAAAAATGTTCCCACTTAACTGAGAGCATGTTCCACTGCTGTGAGCTCAGCTGGGCGTCGCCGGGACGGCGCTCCTGTGCACTGAGCAGCATCTGAGCCCTGAGGCTCTGGCTCCACTCACGCCCCCTCTAACAACAGCCCTGAGCAATCCCTGCAGAGCAGGGTATCTCTGCTGTGAGCTGCTTTTCAGGTCAGCTGACGTGGGCTGCACGCCCTGGCTCTCAGGCACCGGTGCATCTCCGTGCTCCACGTCTTCCTCAGGAAGCCGTGGCCTGTAGGACGCAATACCCTGGGTGTCCCTACCAGGGAGGTGCGTGGGGAGGGGAAGCAGTGGGCAGCCAGGGGCTTTCTAGGCCCTGCCCATGGGTGCAGCCGGCGCTGCCTTTGTCCTCAGCCCCTGCCCTGAGTGCGCTGAGCGTGCCCTTCACGGGGTGTGCCCAGCGGCACACACATCAAGGGTACGGCCACGGGAGCACAGCAGGTACCAGACAGTGGCTGACGTACACTGGGTTGTGAGCCCAAGAACAAGCACAGAGGACAGAAATGGGAGGTGTTTTACCTAAGTGAGCTCGAGGGAGCCCTATAAAACCTCTACCTCGGCTTCACCAAGTGACAAGCACTGCACACCTCACATGTCCTGGAGAACAACTAGAAACCTCGAGGAGAGGGGGACACGGTGCTGCGGCGGGGGCTAAGGCACGGCGGGGACCCCCACGTCCCACACCCCAGTGCTGCCCGGAGCCCACCCAGCTTCCTGGCCAAGGGTCCCTGCCGACGCCAGTCCTCGGCGGGCAGCACGTCTTACCTCCTCCCTCTCGCCGCCCAGCTGCTTCAGTCGTGTCCCAGCGTCGTCCTTCCCTGCTTGTGTGAGGGCCACATGCAGTGCGGCGGCCGAGACCCAGGCAGGGCTGGGTGCGGAGGAAGCACTGTCGGAGGAGAGGAAGCTGGGGAGAGAGACGTCCCCACACCTGTGAGCCCCAAGGCTGCGCTGCCCCCACCCCTAAAGTTTATTTATGTGAGAGGTAGAGTTAGGTGGAGAGACAGGAAAGTCTCCCATGCACTGGTTCACTCCGGAGCTGTGCCGATAAGGAGCCAGGAGCCTCTTCCAGGTCTCCCATGCGGGTACAGGGGCCCAAGGACATGGGCCATCTCCTACTGCCTTCCTAGGCCACAGCAGGAGCTGGATCGGAAGTGGAGCAGCCGGGACTCAAACTGGCGCCCATGGGATGCCGGCACTGCAGGTGGTGGCTTTACCCACTATGCCGCGGCTGCATTTCTCAGAGAGGGGAGGCAGGGTCACAGAAACAGCCCCAGCTCTCAGGACATGGCCTGGCCTCGGACGCGTGTGTGGTGCCGCAGTGGTCACCACTTGGGCTGTGCTGGTTAGACTCCCTGCTTCCTGCTGACACGAACTCGGAGGGAGTGGATGACGGCTGGGGTGCGGCATGAACCAGCAGATGGAACGTGCGTGCTCTTAAAAAAGGCTGAGCAGGCCCTGTGACCAGTCAGGCCTCACAACCGGACAGAGGACAAGGAGGGCCCAGTTCTACTGTGGCATCTGATGGCTTAACAGCAGGTTGAAAACCTGGCAGAAATTAGTGACACGATGCAATAGTTTTAAGAACCTTTCAACCACCTCGTCTGTAGGATCGTTTGCAGGCAAAGCTGGTGGGGGCCAGCCCTTCCCTGGGACAGGAAGCTGTGTCAGTCCCCAGGTTGGGGTGCGCTGCGACGCTGCCAGTCCTCGCCCCCCGCCTGGTCCCCCTGCACTGGTGGGGAGGTGAGACGGCACAGGCCGGCAGAAAAAGCTGAGCTGAAATGGAACTGCTGAGACCAGTCTTTCCCAACACCTTCCTGAGCTCAAACGTGGGCCCGTGGGGCCTGGCTCCTCCCCCTCTCCCAGGAGCCAGCCCAGCCGCCCCTTGTCCTGCGCCCGCACACTCACTCGCTGGCAAACCTCCGCGCCTCCTGCAGCCTCCGCAGCTCCTGGGGCAGGCAGTCCTGGAAGCATCTCCTCCACTGGGCACACAGCACCGGCTCCAGGCTTGGCCACCACGACTCACAGGGAAGACAACCAGGAAGCAGATAAGGGTGGCTGTACCTGGACGCCCCTAGCTGCCCCAATTATGAGATTCTCGAGAGGCCACGGGGGTCTGGGCAGATGGCAAGTCACAGCCGGGATCCGGCGGCTCACATTCAGTCGCTCTAACTTCCGAGACGCCCTCTTGCGCACCCCCCAATGCTCAGAGCAGTGCCATGGCTCGGGACAGACGGGAAGCCCTTGTCCCCTGACGTGCCGCGAGTGGGACCCACTCTGTGCCTGCTGTGGGCGTGGCGGTCCTCCAGGACCCCCTGCTAAGAAGCAGTGTTTGAAAACCGCAAAGCTCACACACAGTGAACCCACCCAGACGCGGTACAGTAGGCGGCAGGCAGACTCCCACAGAAGGCAGCGGCAGGAACCCGGCCACCTCTTCCCCCACACCCACCCCAGAATGGAGGTCAGGCGAGTGTCCACAAGGGAGGCCACAGACGCAGCAGGAGCTGAGGCAGCTCTCCGCTCCAGCCCCGAGACGCGGCCCACGCATGCTGGGACCACACCCCCGCTCCTTTCCAACACTTCATGGTCTCTGGGCACCCCCGGTGAGGACCAGGAGGGACACGAGGCGGGGGTCCCGGGGGCTGGGGACAGTCCAGGAGACTCGTTCCCCTCACCTGCTGTGGGCTGACACTTCCAACTGTGGAACTACGATGACTGGGATGGAGACCCAGCGAGAAATGAACGTGGTGACAAGGTGCCACGTGGCCACGGGGTGCCTACTCATCCCAAGACCACCCCACAGGACGGCCGAGCCTACCAGAGCAGAGGTCAGAATGATGGGACAGTGGCTTTGGCACTCAGTCAGGGTCAGGTTGGCCACTCGGGCTGGCTCTCTGCTGTGGACGCAGGCACTCAGCAGCCCCTGCGAGACAGGGCTTCCCGTGGGCTCAGCAGTCTCCCACCACCCGCGCCCGGGAGAGCCCAGGACCTGACAGAAGGTCCAGCCACGGGGTGCCACGGAGACAGCTTACCCTGAAGAAGTGGAGGGTGATGTCGTGGGTCAGGCTGATTCCGTGGGAGAAGTTTCTCTGAAAAACAGTTCCACAGGCCGGCAGGGAGTCCAGGTGGGTCACGGGCATGAGGGCAGCACGCAGGGCCCCTGCTGAGCCCAGCAGGAGCTGTGGCTGCAGCAAACCCTTGGCCTGACGGGCTGGTCACGGGGGCGGGCCCAGACGCACGGTCAGAGCGCCTCTCGTCCACCCACTGCTCTGCGCCCCTCCAGACAGGGCTGAGGGCGACACCGCACTGCCGGCCACTTCTCCCCTCTCTGTCCTCGGCTAACCAAGCAGTGCCCCTCGGGAGACAGAAGAAAACCCACTTGGGTACATCTCGTCTCTGCTTTCCTGCTACGGAACTGAGACGGAACCGAGGTTCGACCACCTGTCCTGTGCGCTTTTCTAGCGGTACAGCGGCGCTAGGCTGTCCCCTCAGTCCCTGAAGCAGGCGCAGCCACGGGGGCAGCACCTCTGCTAAGATCTGGTTGAGATCAGGGTGCCCCTCACGAGGGGCTGGGTGTGCAAAGGGCCTCCTGGCAGCCAGCAGCAGCCGCCATCTCACCACAGGGCGCCCGTGCACGCCCACTTCCCAACAGGAGCAGGAGCGGAGGCAGAATGAGCTGCACGTTCCGGGGTCCAGACTCCCGAGGCCTCGACGCACGGCTGACCGTGGCGCATGGGCCGCCTGTCCCGACTGTGCACGGCTCTGCAGCTGTGCATCCGTTCCCTCAGCTCTCTGGGCCCCACTTCCCACCTGACTCCCATCTCCCTCCTGGAGAGCCCGAGGTCAGGGTGACCGGAGGCCACAGGGGCTTCCCTCGGCTTCCTGCCCGGAGCTCCCGGCACGCTCCCCCGTCGACACGCACGGCACCTACCAGCTCGGAGTTAACCAGGTGGAAGAACTCCTCGCAGTGGCGGGGAACAGGCTGCTCGGCCTGGATGCTGCCGATGAGAACAGATGGGGGCAGGTGGAGAAGGATCCTTGGAGAGAAGGGGCCGTGTCAGCGACGCAGGCCGAGTCACCTGGCCTCCTTCCCAGGGGCTCAGGCGTGGCACCAACGCCCTCCTCGGGTCCAGAGGGCCCGGGCTGCAAGCCCCCGTCCCTACCCGGGCCTTTGTGCCCAGCTCCTGCACAGGCAGGGCCCCTGCAGACATGTACAATGTGCTCCCTCCCCCCAACACAACTGTAACACTTGCACAGTCACCAGACGGCCACGCTATGGCCTTTAACTGGAAAATTAAACCGTTTCACTCTCTTTAAGAAGGGCTGCAGTGAGCAGTGCTATGGCACAGCGGGTAAGGCTGCCGTCTGCCGTGCCAGCATCCCATATGGGCGCTGGTTCGAGTCCCAGCTGCTCCACTTCTGATCCAGCTCTCTGCTACAGCCCGGGAAAGCAGTAGAAGATGGCCCAAGTCCTTGGGTCCCTGCACCCATATGGAAGACCTGGAAGAAGCTCCTGGCTCCAGATTGGCTCAGCTCCAGCCGTTGTGGCCAACTGGGGAGTGAACTATCGGATGGAAGACCTCTCTCTCCCTGCCTCTACCTCTCTGTAACTCTGTCTTCCAAATTCTAAATAAATTTTACCGCACCCCACCCCCCCCCCCAAAAAAAAAAAAAAAAAAAACCTGGCTACAGTGAGCATCTTTCAGAGTCAGAGAGAGACAGAGCTCCCATGTGCTGGTTCACTTCCCAAAAGCCTGCAATGGCTGGGCTAAAGCTGGGAACCAAGAACTCAATCCACGTTTGCACAGAGGTGGCAGGAGCCACCTCCCAGGGTCTACACCACCAGGAACCTGGCACAGGAGCCAGAGGGGGAGTCAAGCCCAGGCCCTCCAGTGTGGGGCAGGGGTCAAACGCCCTCGTCCAGCTTTCCTTATTCTGACTACATCTTCAACTACAGGATTCCCGGGGCCACGGGGAAGACTTAATCCAGGGCCAATCTGCTCCCCATGAGACCCACTGGGGAGCCGAGCGCAGCCAGCACGCAGTGGGGGAC